CGTGAATATGATAGAATAGGCTTTTTCTGAGCATATTCACGGATTAAATTTTGTATTTACTTCTTAGTAAAGAAGTTGATCCATTTTATAAAATACAAATGTTTGATGACTTTAGATTTCATGCACCATATATATATCAATTATATTAGAAAAAATTTTTCATTGTTCATTTAGATGAGACTCCTTTATTAACAAAATAAGCAAATTAACTATTTACATTGATTGTACCTTTAATAAAATAACTTTCCGAAACTTAATTTTTTTCTATCTTCGACTAAATAAACTATAGATAGGGATGCAAACAGAACCCAACCTTAAAAGACTAATAATTTGTCTTTACCTAAAAATTATGAAGGTGACAGTCAAACATAATGAAGAAGATATTGATTGATTACTATAAATTAAAACGCCCATTTCGCTTATACTTGAAGATTCCAGATTGATCTTATCAAAATCAATCTATTAATTTCTCTTTTATCAAATATTCATTCACCATGTCTAAATAAATAAAAGTTTGAAAAAAATTGTTCAATTTACATGTGACGCAAAAAGCATGTCTTCATTCAAATTCACATCAAATCTCTGTTTCACGCGACATTCATTATACTCGAGAATTTGACGAGTAAAAAGTGTTTTTTCGTGTTATATCGATATATTGATTAATAATAAATAAATATATCGATATAAGAACAATAATAGTTTGTCTCTGTCATTTTTATTTACGCGCTCTTGCTTTCAGCTGACCGAAAGGCAGAGGTGATATAATTTTGTTCCTGTCCTATTAATATTTTCGATATCAAATATTAAGTAAAATAAATAGATATCACCTCTGTTTTTTGTCAACAACTGTATACATATCGCGCGTCTCGTATTACTACTATACAATAATAAATAAAGTGTTAAAAAATGGCTCCGTCTGCAGAAGAAACTACTACTGGTGGTGGTGGTAGTGGCCTATTTCAAAGTGTTCTGGATAAGATATTTGGTGGTGGAAAAAAAGACAAAGACGGGCTTAGGATGATACTTATGGGCCCGCCTGGTGCTGGTACGTTTAATATTATAATAACGTTCAAAGCGAAGTTTTGTTTTAAGAAATTGATATCCATTTTCATTGATCACTTATTAATTATTTATTATTTTGATTAATGATTATGGTAACGTAAATCGACAATAATGATTACGATAATTAGGCAAAGGTACACAATCACCAAAAATCAAAGAGAAATATTGTATCTGTCATTTAGCGACAGGAGATATGTTGCGTTCGCAGGTGGCCGCGCAAACACCACTAGGAATTGAAGCCAAGAAAATTATGGAATCTGGTGGATTAGTCTCGGATGAAATAATGGTTGGGATGATAAAAGACGAACTAAAAAATAATGCTGAGTGTAAAAACGGGTATCTATGTTTCATGAATGTTTTTTACTATACTAGATGATTGATGATGAATATTAATATTCCTTTGGAAAAATAAAGATTTATTTTAGATGGATTTCCACGTACAGTTCCACAAGCCGAAAAACTTGATGCTATGTTAGAAAAGGACAATAAGAAACTTGATCATGCTATTGAATTAGTCATTGACGATAATCTTCTCGTTTCACGTATCACAGGTCGTTTAATTCATCCTGCTAGTGGTCGCTCATATCATAAAATTTTCAAGTATGTTTTTTTCTTCTATATGTGATCAAAAAAATATGTTTTCTTACGTTCAATAAATTAATTCATAATCGATTAATTAATAAATAAATCAATAGCCCACCGAAAGTTCCTAATACTGACGATGTAACGGGGGAACCACTGATCCAACGTTCAGACGACAATGCGGAAACTCTAAAGAAACGATTAGTTTCGTACCATCAACAAACTACACCGGTTGTAGACTATTATAAGCGAAAAGGAATATGGTCCCAGATTGATGCTGCTCAATCACCGGCTGTTGTTTGGTCGAGTTTATTGGCGATTTTCGATGATTCAAGGAAAAAAAAGTGACAAGAATGAATTATGTGCACGATTTTCTAGTCTGAGGATAAATGTTTTTTAATTTTAATAATTACAGCCAAAGCTGATTGATAAAGAAAGCATTATAATGAAAACAATAGATAATTATTACACTATTTAATTAATAAAAAACAGGCATTGGATTGAATGTTAATTCAATCATATATATACAATGTTAAAATAATCATACATTTATCGTGCTTTCTCATGATGCTTAAATATCTCAACAAACAACTTAATATTTCTAATTTCCAAGATCTATTCCATTATGAGAATTAATTTTCCCCAATATTTGCTGACGCCAATCCATATAATCCTTATTTTGAGATTTCGTGTATAATGGGTCGATCTGAAAATGGGAAATAAATGTCAGTTAAAAAAATTATCAACAAAAAAAAAAACCATTCTCAAATAACTACTACCATGTTTCCATTGACAGAATGATTATTTTCTTTGTTGTCTTCGACTGTTTCTAATAGGTAACTTATGTTCGGTTTTCGCTTTTCTTTCGATAGAGATGGGGTTGGAGGTGGAGTAGTAGGCGTGATTTGTGAGGTTCTGGATGGTGTTGTTGTCGTGTTTTTCTTCGAAGGACTTTTAATGGGGCTGCCCTTTTTTTGCACTGACAAATCATCGATAAACGATTTGCAGTGTAATTCGACGAGTTTGATGAGACAATCGAGATCTACTTGGGAAAAGTATGAATTCATAGAAGAAAGTAATTCTTTTTTGGCCATACGAATCTAAATTCATTAAATTTCAAAAAAGTTATTATCATTAAAAAATTACATTTTCTTAAAAATTTGAATTTTTTATAATTACCCGAAGCGCTTTGCAACACGAATAAAAGATCGCGACTTTATAAATATTCTTATCCCAATCAATATTTTCCCGTTCCCCGGCAGAAAGCGAATTCGCCCAGTTCTCTATAAAATTTTTGTACATTTCTTCCGCTTGTTTGACGATCGTCTGACACCCGAATTTTATGCCCAACACCTCGAACGTAAGATTGGACTTCATGTCGAGTTTTGACTTTAGAACCTCAACGAACGAGGCGTATTTCTTTGGGCTGATTTGTGCGAGCTTTATCGCATTTTTGGTGTTAAATGTAATGTCTAGGCTATTTTTTATTTGGAGAACGTCACAGTTTTAGAATGAATAAAAATTTATTGGGGTCTATGAAAAGAATAAATAGTCTTTGAAAAACCTTTCACAAGCGAGTTGTATGCAAATTAGCGGTTTGCAAGCTGCACCAAGTTTGAAGGTATTGTGCGGATCCTTGGCATTCACTTGTTGAAGAATTTCATACGCCTTATCGAGAAGAGAGGAATCTTCATGAACAAGATTCAAGCTTCTTAGTGAACCTTCAAGTAGGTTTCGTTCTGACATTTGAACAAAGGTTGATAGTTAAAATGAGAAATTGAAACGCGTACTTTTAAAAAAGCTAAGTCAAGCAAATAATGGATAGTTATTTTAATACTATATCAAACTAAAGCTAATATTATCAAAGTAATATTGTGATGAATGTTACTTGAACTTTACACGTATTCCCAAAAAAAAAAAAAAAAAAAACGCGTAGTTGATTTTCCGTGCAAAATTCCGTTTTCGAAATTCTATTTATAGTATGTGCCCAACAAGAATAATGATAACCATAACCGATACCGATACAGTAAAGAATACATGGTTGTTACAACAAATAGAAAATCTTAATAATTCGGCCTATTTATTATCCCTTCGCCCCTCACAGAAGCCTCAGACTACCACTATTACTCCTCATTTCAAAGTTGCCAACTGACTGATTTTCCCTTGTTCCACTTGAGAACTGATACTTGAAGAATTTCTTTATCTTCATAATTTAAGAAATCAAATTCACACTTTTGAATAATGGCACCTAAGGACGGAAAAAGCCGTAAACCAGCAAGTAAGCATTTTATACACCGTCGTTTTCGTCATCTTTTTTCTGTTCTTTTACTTAATACACAGTTTCTCATTATTTTGACAGATACGGCTTTTAAACAACAACGATTAAAGGCATGGCAACCTATATTAACACCTAAAACTGTACTTCCGACTTTTTTCATAGTTGGAATGATATTTGCTCCTTTAGGAGGATTGTTATTATATGCTAGTGATAGCGTGAGTAGAACATTTTTTTTCTGATTCTTGTTTTGTTCACCTTATGAATTTTTCTTTTATTCTAGCTAATTATTATTGTATAGGTATCGGAAATTAGCATTGACTACACATATTGTCAAGAACAAGCCCCCTCTTCCCAAAACTTCGACAATGCAATTCCTTTACCCGACGATAGCGTAGAGATTTCTTTTTCACAAAGCAATTCGACAATCGAGAAAGCCAAATGGATTACCTATAAGATGAATATGACTCTACCTGAAGGCGCGACACTCGAAGTCTCAAAATGTGAGATCGAATTTACGATTCCCGCACAACTTAAACCGGGCGTGTTTCTTTATTATCGATTGACAAACTTTTTTCAGAATCATCGACGTTATGTGAAAAGTTTTATGGCTAATCAGTTGAAGGGGGATGCTGTTGGTGTTGCGGGCTTGCAAAATTGTAAACCTTTGGCGACGGATAGTAATGGGACTATTATTTATCCTTGCGGATTGATTGCTAATTCGATGTTTAATGGTAGGTATTATCTTAGTCTTTCTCAATATAGATATATATCACTCTTAATGCTTATTGGTTATATTGTTCGTTTAATTTTTAAATTTAATAACAATAACAATAATAGATACAATCCATGACCCCGTACTACTCAACCCCGCTGGCAAAAGTGATGGCAACGAGACATACGTGTTTAGCAATAAAAGTATTGCGTGGCCATCAGACAAGCAAAAATATGGACCAACAAAATACGACGTCAACTCCATAGTACCACCGCCAAATTGGGCTGCACGATACGTGGATGGAAGGTACAACGAGACGACGATACCCGATTTGCATAGTGATGAGCATTTCCAGGTGTGGATGCGTACTGCAGGGTTACCCAACTTTCGTAAATTGTATGGAAAAAACGAGACACATGTCATGGCACAGGGCAGATATCGTATTGTGATTGATGATTGTGAGTTTTCTCTTAATTATGATAATGGATAAATGAAAGAGAGAAATTGAAATGATCGATTAACATCGTTTAAATATAATATTTTACAGTCTTCCCTGTGTTAAAATACGGTGGCACAAAATCTATTGTAATTTCGACTGTTTCTTTCTTGGGCGGAAAGAATCCATTTTTAGGTATTGCATATATCGCTGTCGGAATTGTCTGTGTTGTGCTTGGATGTCTTTTCACCGCTAGGCATTTATACAAGCCCAGGTAAATATAAATGAAATTCATATCGATTCATTAGTCGAGGAAAAAATACGGACAAGTGAATTTTCTTTTTATTTTCACCATTACTTACCACTATATAGGAAACTCGGAGACCATACATATCTTTCCTGGAATCAAAACACACCTGCGGGCGGTGCAGCTGGTGCTCACCGGGATTAATTAGTTACTTAAAAAACCAGTCGTAGAGAAGGAACAAATAAAGACGAGAAAAGCTTTTGTGTATTCGGAATCAGCAAAATATGCTTATTTAATCAAAATAAGCACATTTATCATTGATATTGTTATCCACAAATAATAGTAATAGCCATTTATCTTTATAATTCCTATTATTATCATTTACTTTTACCAAAGATAACTACAATTACTTTTTGTTGTATAATAATAATAATAATACATGTTACAAGTATGTTATTTATAATAGATATCTATTTCAATTTTGATATAATTGTCATATCAATGGATTCTACATTATCCAGTCAAGTGTTTTGATTATTTTAGTTTAAAAATAAATATATAATTTTGGTCAAAAATTAAAATAATTTGATCTTTATTTAATTTAGTTTTTTTTTTATTAAATTGTATCAATTATTTATATAACAAAAGATATTTATCTCTTAAATTATCTAGCATACAAAATTATATGCTAGAATATTTTGTCTTAAATTTTGCTTGCATTTATAATTTTCAATTTTTTTATTTTACAGATCAAAATTCTACAACTAATTATTTTTATAGGTTTTTATATGTAATAGATTGTTTAAAAAATTATTTTTGTTTTAATTATTGTTAGCATAAGTATCTTTATTATAATAGGATATTTTAAGAGATAACAAAAGATCTTTTATTATAAAAAAGTCTTTTAAGATAAATAAAATTTAAAATAATTTTTTAAGAAAAATTTTATTAATTAGCTTTTTTATTATTATAATATTTTATTATTTTTGGCTTATATTGTTATTATTTTATTTGATTCAAGTATATTATATATTTTCATATAATTTCAATCAAATAAAAGAAATAATATAATAATTAAATGTTTTTATAACTAAAATACTAATGATAAGTAATATATATTTTGTTGAGCAACTAAAATAAGCTCAGAAATTTTTTTTAATAAAAATAAGTATTATTATGATATGAATATTTAGTTCTTATTTTATTGGTTAATTCATATCATAAATTTAATTGGATAATATTTTATTATAT